TCTGCTCCTGGCTAGCATGTTTCAGCAGAACAATGAGCTGCAGATGGAGAATGATGGCATGAGAACCGAGGATGAATGAAGCCATGCTAACTGGTGCTAACCTAATGTTAACCTTGTGCTAACCTGGTGCTAACCTGATGCTAAACTTAATGTTAACCTGGTGCTAACCTGGTGCTAACCTGATGTTAACCTGATGCTAACCTAATGTTAACCTTGTGCTAACCTGATGTTAACCTGGTGCTAACCTGATGTTAACCTGGTGCTGACCTGGTGCTAACCTGGTGCTAACCTGATGTTAACCTGGTGTTAACCTGGTGCTAACCTGATGCTAATCTGGTGCTAACCTGATGTTAACATGGTGCTGTCCTGTGTTTGTCCAGAAGGCGGCCAGCTGAACAACAATGTGGCAGCCAGCTCCAGCGTTGGCCCGCAGCACCCCTACCCGGCGCTCAGCCAGCTGGCTCAGGCCTACGAACAGCAGCAGCAGCAGCAGAACGCCGACCTGAACAAGTACGCCTCCCTGAAGGCCGTAGGTGAGTGGCAGCTTCAGCCATTGGCACATCAAACGCAGTAGGCGACTCGTGTCCGAGCAGGAGCGGCTGTACTGAGACGGGACAGCATCACAATTAGGCTTTTATTGATTTGTTTTCCTTCCAGTAGATTTTATTGAAGGTTTTATGACCTGAACACAAAGGGCAGCCAGTCTGCGACTCTTCTGCTGGAGTCTGACAGATGTTATTGACTGCGCCGCATGCCTGAGCGCGCTGGAAGACACAAACCGCCGCCTGCAGACAGCCTGGCGCATGATGAGGCGGCTGCCAGCGCAGGCCATCTGAAATTCACCCACATTTACAAACCAGTATCTTCCCAGACGACTCCAATCATTCAGTTTGTGTTTGTGTGACAGGTAATCCGCCTCCAGCTGCGTTTTAGTCCAGTTTCCGCTCATTACCAGCAACCGCATCTCTGCATGAAGTGTGAGGCGGTTTGGATGCCTGACTGCATAAACTGATGAATAACGGCATAAATTCATATATCAGCAGAGAGGAAAATCACTTAAGATCAGGGTGCCCAAACTGTGGCCCAGGGGCCATTTGTGGCCCATACACTGATTTTGTGCGGTCCCAAATATAATTCAAGAACGATACAAATGTGGTCTTTCAGAACAGAAAAATTTGTAATTAGGGTAAAATTATTACCAACATAATTTCCATACAATGGAAAAAATGTAAGTATAATACTAAATATTTGCTGTTTTATAAGCAAACTTTAATATAATAAGTAGAAACACATTTGCACCAAAATCAGCTTTTATCTTGATTATTAAACTTGGTTAAATATAGCAAGCATTTTGAAAGAGATTCAAACCAACCAAAGCCTTTGAGCAACCTGTTCCCCTCCTGGCCTGTGGGGGCGCTGCACCAAGAACCACTGAAGGAAACGACACAAAAACCTCTGAAGACACTGAGAGCAACTTCCCTCTTCACCAGATGGAAACAAGATGGAGGCGTCAGATTTTAGAGGTTGAAGGATTTCTCTTTAGTCTTTAGTCTAAAGACCAGGAGCTATTTCTGCTGCTAGCGCTAGGCTAGCATGTTAGCTTTGGTTGCATTTACCCAGAATGCCTTGCCCTGTAGTCCACTTCCTGCTGTTGGAGCAGTCTCCGGTCCACTTGGCGTTCACATTCAAACCGAACCCAGACGAGCTTTGGAGGACCAGAGGTCAGAAGTCAATTAGCGTTTGCACCTCACCAACCTGACCGGACTTTATAGAAAAGTGGAC